TGCTCCACAGTCCAATCTCTTTTGGTCTCGCCATTGAAGTCCAATCTGGTCATGGTGAGCCACAAGAGTGTCTGTACTTGCCTAGTCAAGGAAGCTAGGAAGCAGTCAGCAACACAAGCATCGTTTTTGGGGAGGCCGGCATCATACACAGCCTGAAGGAACTTCTTGGAGTAATCTCCAATCGACTCAGAAGGAAGCATTACCATGGTAAATACCTCTTTTACCGAACGGGATGTCACCAAGTGCGATCCATGTCTTGCTGTAAAGCAGATCTTGGCCGCGTTCCAATCTACACACTTCTTCAAATCCATCTCTACCCATTCATCATCACTATGAGGCAAGCAGAGCAGCAAAAATCTCTTCCAAACTAGTTCAATGTCCTGAAGGGACGACTCAATAACCTTTTGGAAGGTGCGAAGGAAGTGGTCTACTGAGTGAAAGACCTCTTCATTCGGGAAGGATCTAATCACATCGTCTGCCAACTGGAACTTAGGAAGATCTCTTCTATTAAGAGTCAACCCTCCAGTGCGACTGCTCTTCTCTACAACTTTCACAGAAGGCGAAAGGTACTGACTGCATGCTATTTCTATATCTATCATTTCTTTGATGCGTCTGACCTTATTAAGGGCTAATTCAGCTGCTTGCTCATCGTTCATAGCATGAGCAGCACTGACAGCCTCTACATGCTGTTGAAGTTCTAGTCTAAGTTTCTCTGACAAAGACAAGACTGTTGTAGCAGCATTCGCTACCAAGGGACGAAGGGGAGAGGGAGCGACAAACTGTCCAGGGGTGGAGCTGGCAAAGGAGATGTCACTCAGACTGGCGATGAGGTCCTCCTCAGTCATGACGGACATGGCATCCTCATCATGAGCAGGGATGATGGCGGTGGGATAGTTCTCAGCAGAGGGGTTCATGGTAGTTCACGAAAAAAAATGTTGTGGTGGTTGAAGTTGAAGAAGTTTTTAAGAGGAAGAATTGAAGATTTGAAATTAGGAATGAAGATTCGTGAGAACTTGTGTAGGTTTTGTTTATTGAGAAAGATTTTGTATCAAAGTTTGACCAGGTTCCTACACTGAACTACTACTGCTATTTATATTATTTTGGATTAGGAAAATTATATGACTGGGGTCAGGTAATTGATCCTATCTGAGCCTTAATCAGAGCAACGTGATCTTGGGATAATTAATGTATGATTAATTATATAAATGTGTGTAGTCCCAATGAAGTATTAACATCGAAAGTAAATGTGTTTATGAGTTATACTTATGCTTATAATAATCCACTGATGTATCCCATATTATGGTGATATCATCATATGAAATATAATCACTATTATACATGCTAAACCTGTGTGTTAAATAATAAAGTAATCAGTAGACACCTTTGACTGGAATAGCTGAGGCCTTATATTATTTCCTTCAGACTTATTCTCAATTACAGCAGTAGTCAATACTCATTTACAACAAGCTTAAATAGATATAAAAGACATACTTAAAGCTTTTGCTCTCTGTTCAAACAGCAAAGAAAGAATGAAATGGCATGGTTAATCCAACCCAAACAATCTGAAAGGGTGACAGTCTTAGCTGATTCTGTAATCCTTAAGATAAGCCCGTCTGACTCTGTAATCTCTTCTTTGCGGATACCAAACTTGATCTTGGACCACATTTCCTCAATTGGATTCAGGAAAGGTGAATACACAGGAAGATATGCACACTTGTACCCACGGGAAGAAATAAAGTCTTTCACCTCATCGGCCTTATAGATAGGAGTGTTATCCATGATGAGATAATGTTTTTGCATACCCTGGCTGTCCAGAACGTCCATTGTATGACTAAGAAAGTCGAGGTAGTGCTGGGTTCTGGTGCCAATTCGGCCATTCACCTCAACATTGGTGTAGATGTCTAACTTTCTCTTCTTCTTGGTTGTGACTGCAGTGGGTTTCTTCAACGAGAGGCTGACAATCCCTCTCTCACACATTGCACCAAGGATGGTGATGGACACACCTCTCTGCGTCAGGACAGTTGTCATAGCCGGGGTGCCACTGACGGAACGGCCAAAAGTTCTCTTGATGTGCATGTTGAAGCCTGCTTCATTGATGAACACACAGTTCGACAGATAGTTGAAATCCGCAAGTTGTTGCCACTCCAAAATGCAGTCTTGTCTCATCTCAATTGTGCTGACGTCGTATCTCTTCTCAGGCAGCTTCTCCAACTTCTTCATCGTCAGGGCACACTTCTTTACCAAGTGCTTCTGGATTGCTGATTTGGTAATCTGCAGCCCAGAGAACTCTTCCATGACAGCTACCCTTGCTTGTTCCAAGGTAGCATCTGGTTTATTTTCGAAAAACTTCAAAAAAAAGCAGAGTGCGCCTGGAACAACTTTTGGTTGCCATGTTTTCGTTCTTTAGGCGCAGAAACCTCCTCAACCTCCATCGTCTCCAGCCCATTGGACTCATCAGTCTCCACTGTGGCAGCATCAAAATCGGCCTGGATCTTCTCTCTGGCCAGCCTGACGTAGTTCTGGGCAGTCCGGACATTGATCCCCGTTTCCCTGGCAGCGGCAGCAGCAGTCTGGTTTTCCGAGAAAACCAAGGAGAAGAGCTTGTTCACCTGGTTTTGGTTGTACTTTTGGTACGAACCTCGACCTATGCTTTCTGCAGTGGGAACAGAATTAGGGTTGACCTTCTCCAGCAGATTCGTCTTTGGCTTCTGTGCAACAATGGTTTTGGTGGTGGCCTCGTTGACTTCAGTTGGCAAAAAACTTCTGAGACTTAAGAGGTTCGTGACTGCTGGGTTTCCGGCCGAGGTACGGGTCCATTCCATATTGGCATGGTGGACAAAGACATCTGTCACAGATCAGAGTACAACTTTTCCATGCATTTCGTCGACAATCTCTTGGTTGAAATCGCACAAGGGGTCGAAAGCAATTCCTGAAAACTGGGTTTTGTCTGCAGAACCGCTGTGACTGACCATTTCACAGTGCTTGTCTATAACAAATTCGAGGGAGTTATTGGAAGTAGGCATTTTTTTTGAAAATAAAAAGGGTGTTAAAATCGAGGAAGAAAGATAACTGAGAAACTTTTATTAAGACACTAGGGTATATATACCAAAAAAAAATATTTTAATGACTTAAACGTTTCTACCAAGGTATAGTCTTGTCCTGTTGTCTTAATATATTTGGATAAAGAACATGTTGAAGAATAATGAATGTTTACATATTAAGCTTCTTCACACTTTTACAAACATTTATTTTATTAGCCAATTTACAGTGCTACCAGAGCCTTTATGGTGTCCTGTCCTCTGTCTTGAAGGAAGGGGTGGGATTTCTTCTCATGGGTTTGCCCAACCAAAAAAAAATAAAAAAAAATAAAAAAATGAAAGTTTTTTTTTGTATAGAGCCAAGAAAAAGCTCGAAATTCAGTTATTGAGATTTTCAGTTTTTCAGAAATTTCTGCGGTTAGATACCATTTTATTTTCAGTTATTAAGATTTTCAGTTTTTCAGTTATTGAGACTTTCATTTTTTCAGTTATTGAGACTTTCAGTTTTTCAGTTTTTCAGTTTTTCAGAAATTTCTTGCAGTAAGATATCATTTTATTTTCAGTTATTGAGACTTTCAGTTTTTCAGAAATTATTTGCGAAAAAATAGTTATGTATATTATAAACATTTATGAATAAAAATGCTAGTTATACTATTTGGAGAATTATTTTTAAAATTGCTATTACATTTTTCTTTTTTTAATTTCTCTTTTTTTTATTTCTTTTTTTTTTATTTCTTTTTTTTTATTTCTTTTTTTAATTTCTCTTTTTTTTTATTTCTTTTTTTTTTTATTTCTTTTTTTTATTTTTTTTTATTTTTTTTATTATTTTTTTTTTATTTTTATTTTTTTATTTCTTTTTTTATTTCTTTTTTTTGTCATGAGCTTGTGCTATTTTTTGTCACTGTTTTTGTGTGTGTAATATTTGGTTTTTTTTTGGTATTTTGTATCATGAGGGTTTCCAAAATTGAGATCGGGTAGTATTGTGAGCAAAGCATAATTCTTGGACCGCTTTCAGTTGTTTAACAGATTGTTGGACATTTACTTGTTCCGAGTGCAGATTACAAAGAGTTGTTGAGTTTGATATTAAGAAGATCAGGATTCTGACATTGTAAAATGATTGGAGCAGATGCTGAATAAATATAGCATTTTTGGATTCTTTTTTATAATGG